ATCCATCATTATTAGAAGATTTTTCAACACCACAATGGGCCAATAGATGTAAACTCTTCAAATTTTCTTCACGAAGAATAAGAACAAAAACTTAAAAGACGAGCTTGAGGGAATAAACTTAGATTTTTTTTTTACTCTTTTGCCCCTCATTAATTAATTAATAACTAATTTGTCTCTGATCCAGAACTATCCACCAACCTGCTCCCTTTTAGTCGACTACCTTGCTTTTTTAGTCGAGCAAATGGTCAAAATTCATAATGTGGACTACACGAAATATAGTCGACTAAAAAGGCATCTTGATCGACTACATTTTTGGGATATTTAGTCAACTAAGGCACGATATTTAGTCGACTAAATATCGACTGAATCCCTATATTTTCCATGTTTTCGGTCTCATTTCGATTGTTGTTGTTGTGTAAACCAAAATAGCTTCCTTTGTTCATGTGTAATCCTCTCAATCTGATTGTATTTCAGCCCACCATCTCTACAGCTCTAATATTGTGAAATCATTGTCATTGCACAATTCCAAACTCCCAAAATTCGAACCCAAACCCCCAATTTCAGAACCCTAATCCCAATTTTGTGAGGAAGATGAGCACAAGTCCAAACATGTATGTAACAATGATCTACTATGATGGAAAGCATTATGAAGGCCCCAATGGTGTTCAATTTAAAGGAAAAACGAAAATATTGAAAATCAAACGGGGCACTACATACAATGAGTTAAAGGGGAGAATTCAGCAAAAATTAGGTCTGCAAAGCAGCCAATGGGTTCAACGGATGATTGCCAGGGTAGAGACTACAGTTGGTAAGGATGTTATTTACTTTTGAATAACTCATTGGGGCCTTCATAATGCTTTCCATCATAGTAGATCATTGTTACATACATGTTTGGACTTGTGCTCATCTTCCTCACGAAATTGGGACTAGGGTTCTGAAATTGGGGGTTTGGGTTCAGATTTTGGGGGTTTGGAATTGTGCAATGACAATGATTTCACAATATTAGGGTTGTAGAGATGGTGAGATGAAATACAATCGGATTGAGAGGATTACACATGAACAAAGGGAGCTATTTTGGTTTACACAACAACAACAATCGAAATGAGACCGAAAACATGGAAAATATAGGGTTTCAGTCGATATTTAGTCGACTAAATATCGTGCCTTAGTCGACTAAATATCCCAAAAATGTAGTCGATCAAGATGCGTTTTTAGTCGACTATATTTCGTGTAGTCCACATTCTGAATTTTGACCATTTGCTCGACTAAAAAAGCAAGGTAGTCGACTAAAAGGGGCAGGTTGGTGGATAGTTCTGGATCAGGGACAAATTGGTTATTAATTAATTAATGAGGGGCAAAAGGGTCAAAAAGCCAATAAACTTATATTATCTTATTCTCAATTCTTGAGAAGATCTAAGAATGATTTTAGAGTCTATTTGACATATTGTTTTAGGGTTTTATAATTCTCATTCAACATGAGAATTCAAATTTTCCTACATACCCTTCAATTTATGTGCTGACATGGGTCCTACATATAATTTTTTCTAACACATGGGTCCCACATACTTTTTATCTCTACAACATGAGAATTGAATTCTCATTCAACATGAGAAAATCAAACCTCATTGTTTTAACCTAAAAGTAAAAAAAAAAAAGTTGCGAAGCAATGAACCGATTGAAATATTAAAAAAAAAAGTTTAAAAAATAAAAATAAAATCTATTTGATGATTATATTAAATTGTTTTAAGAGTTTTGAAGAAAGGGAGATAAAATAATTTATTAATAGGATACATTACAAAGATAAATGATAAAATTTATAAATAAAAGTTTTGAATAAAGGTATAATTAAAAAATAAATATGAGAAAAAAAGTTGACATATATTTAGAAAAACTCATCCTTTGAACTTTTTTTTTTTGGTTTGTAATACCTACTTTGAGTTTTTAACTTTTAGCTTCTTCTTTTTACATTATAAAAGAAAGCTCTTTTTATGATAAGAGTTTTTATAAAATTATGTTTAGTTAAACTTTTGTTTATAATAATAAGAAAAGTTAAAAATAAGAGCTCCAAAATATGCACTTACTTGTAAGCAAATATTTAACCAAACATATTTTTATCAAAGTTCTTATCATAAAAAATAATTTTTTATAATAAAGAAAAATGTTAAAAGCTCTAAAGATGAGCTTTTTTTAAGATATATGCCGGCTTTTTAAATTCTCATATTTATTTTTTAATTATATCCTAACAATTCGTCATAATAACAAAATATTTCATCTATTTCTCTTCAAAACTCTAAGAATAATTTTATACAATTATTAAATAGATTTTAATTTATTTTTTTACACTCTATTTTTAACTTTTAACTTAAAAATAATTTTAACTAAAAAATTGCCAAATTTCGCATTCTGTCATAATTCAGTACACTTAGTGTTGATTTATCCAATGTTATTAAAACCGGCTCGGTCATTGACCCGGTCGAGGTATTGGGTCACTGGTTCAATCGCATGACCAGGTAATCATATGTATTTTATAATTTATATTAAAAAATTATAAACATACTTAAATATCTAAAAAAATATACAAATTTCAAATATTTTAATATAAAAAATAATAAATCACATATTATTATCCAATAAAGGATCAAACAAAAATATAATGATCATAATACGAGGCTTTAAGTTTAAAAAATGACATCTCTAACTATAAATCAAATTAAAATTTTCTGGATAGTGCATAATTGAGATAATATTAATATTGTAGGTACATAACTTAAGTAAGTCAATAAGTAAAAAAATACTCAAATATGTCCATTATGAATTTTTTTTTTGAAAAAATAAATAATTTGAATTTTTTTTTTTGGGACCAGGCCGGGTCACCGGTTAACCGATCGGATCACCGGTTTTTATGAAAATCGACTGGGTCGGATCGGGTCACACTGGTTCTGATGCATGGTCAGTCCGTTGCTTCAATCGAACCAGTTATATGACCGATTCATCGATTTCCGAGTCGACCCAGCCGGATCGGTCCAGTTTTAATAAGACTGGATTTAACTACACAAAAATCTCAACTTAGAGAAAGCTCTGGACCAAAAAGAGAAAACCATCATAAGAAACGATTCATAATGAATTAATCATCGTTTACGTGAATAATTTTTGGGAAATATGTTTCACATTTTTTAGGAGATAATTTTGTCTCGTATATATAAAAATAGTGGATAGATCCCATTTTTTTATTTTTTATCTTCTCTTTAGTGTGTCTCACCTATTTTTTTAAGTGTTGCATAAAACAAAATTATCTCATGTAACATGAGAAACATATTCTCCATAATTTTTTTTGAAAAATATTTTCATAAATAATTTCATTTCTTTGTAATATTGTGTTCTAATTTACACATTATATATAATTTTTTTTATCAATATTTCCCGAGAAGTATTGTATCTGAAATATATGTTTTACGTTTAATGTTTATAGTTTAAGGTTTATAAATAAGTAAAAATTATTAAATCTTAAAATTAAAATTTATATTTATAATTTAAGCAAAAAATTTAAGAATCCAGTTCGAAAGGAATGGATTTTTCAACATGAAAAAATACTAAAAAAATTAATTTGTGAGAAATTTATTTCTTAATGATTTATTTAAATTAAAAAATCAATTATCTTCTGTACTGAAAATATTTTGCAAAATAATATTTTAATATAAATAATTCAAAAGAATTAATGAATGGAATTTTAGAAATTTTGTTTATTTTTTCATATATATTTTATCTAAACACCATTTCTTAATTCTCAAACAGTCCAAACAATATAATTTTAGATCGTTGGAGATAATTAATAATCTGTGACAGGAAAACGATAAATCCGTAATTTAAAAAGTTTATCTATTCTCATGAAATGTAAAAAAGATAATCTCATGCCATAGAGATATAGTGATGAGATCTGTCATCGGAAAAATAAAAAAAATAGAAATATTGTATAATTATTGAAGGACGTGAAAGAGAAAAAATTAATATCATCTAATATAAGAATAAATTTTTCCTAATTTAAAACAAAATAAAAAAAAATAGTCTGTGACAGGAAAACGATAAATCCATAATTTAAAACAAAATCAAAAATAATATTCAGTAAAATTGCCCACTTAAGAATTTCATGATTTTTTTTTTTAATATCAGAATTTCATGAAATTAACATATTACAAGATAAAATTCCTTACATTTTGACCTTCAGAATAATGTAGGGATTAAAGGAACCCAGCCCCACGATTCAATTAACTGTGTGTTGGCATTTGGCACCACCACCGCACCATCAGTATACCCTTGGGAGTTGGGACTTGGGACTATATAAAAAGTTACTAGTTTAGTCCTTAGCACATTATTGTTGTTGACCGTTTTGTCCTTGTCGGTGCGCAGAGCCAGCCCAGCCTGAAAACGACGCATTTGCACACCGTATTTGTGTTGCGTGTTATTCACATGCCTTGACTATGGTTGCGTTTTATTCACACACATGCTTGGACTTTGGTTTCGTTTGAGGCGCATAATCCCTCGATGCGCGTGACATAACATTTTCATTTCTTAAATATAGCTTTCTTATTTTATTTTTTTATATTTAATGAGGTCCACATTTTCTGCTGAGGCATCACATCATGATTCAAAACGAGGTCGTTTCTTCTTCACCATGAATTATATTCTTGCCAACCAGAAGGGGTTACTCCGTACATACACTTTCTTAAGTATCAATTCTCAAAAAACATTGGAAAAATTATAATTCTTATAAATGTGACTATTTAATAAAATTATGTCATAATGTCATATTTAACTTCATTAAATAACTTAAATTTATTTTTCATTAATACATTATACATCCTTCACTTACTGACAAACCACTTTAATAAAATTTTAACATCTTCAAACAAATCATTAAATCAGCTACTTTCTCTGTGCATAGATTAGCATCCTTTTAATATTATTATACATATAACTTTTTATTTTGTTCTGACATTCTCCATTTTCACCATTTTCATTCGCTTGCAGCTTCTGAGGCACACACACTCCACTACACTACACCATACCCTTGCAGTTCCAGCCAGTTATTGCAGGTTTCAGATTCTACCTCTACCTGCCACTGCTTTGTCTTCACGCTACTTACTCTCCTTATTTTTTAAGCATTCTTTCTCAGTGAAAGTTTTGATAACTTCACCTTATATATTCAACTTGATTCCATGGTCACATTATCAATTTTCTGCTTGGTTTTAGCATCAAGTTCTAAACTCTTCTACTGGTTTTTCTACAGCACTTGCTCGATCTAGAACCTCGTGCATTTGTGTATTAGTTCAGTTCTCAAACTATTGTGTTGTTTTTTAGTATGTGATATTGTTTTGTGTCTTGCTTTTTTTTAACCTTATCTGCACCAAATTTGATTTAGGTGAACTTGAACTTCGGTCTCCGAAACATGTTGTTATAACGGTCTTGTCCTAACATTGTGTGTTCTGTTCAGTCTTCAGCAATGAAGGGAAAGAACCGGAGAAGTAACGGCGCCGTTAAAATCGATTACATCATTCACATTCAGGAGATTAAGCCATGGCCACCATCACAGTCTCTCAGATCCTTTCGTTCCGTGTTGATACAATGGGAAAACGGTGAACGTTCTTCGGGGTCCACCAATCTTGTTACACCTTCGCTTGGTTCTGTTATAGGCGAAGGAAAAATCGAGTTTAATGAGTCATTTAAACTTCATGTGACTCTGTTGAGGGACATGTCTGTGAAAAACGGTGATGTTGATGTGTTTCAGAAGAATTGCTTGGAGTTCAACTTGTATGAGCCTCGAAGGGATAAGATTGTGAAGGGTCAATTGCTTGGGAGTGCTATTATAGACTTGGCAGATTGTGGTGTTGTTAGAGAGAGCTTGAGCATTAGTGTTCCGTTGAACTGTAAGAGGAACTATAGGAACACGGATCAGCCGATTTTGTTTGTTAGAATCGAGCCTGTTGAAAAGAATCGTGGTAGGAAGGACACGTTTTCAAAAGAGGTGTCAAATGATGGTGGTGACTCTCTATCAACATTGATGAATGAAGAATATGCTGAGGAAGCTGAGATTGCATGTTTTAGTGATGATGATGTTTCCTCGCATTCATCTGCTGCAGCAGTTACTACTACTTCCCCTGAGTCTAGTAGGTGCATTATACCTCCTCAACACCACCAAGAGGTACTTGGATTTTACCGCATTCCATTCTTTTATTCATAGCAGCATGCATTTTTATTTATTTATTTTTTGTAATGTAGCCATATAAACGGAGCATCAACTAAGAATAACATGTTTTGCACTAGTCCAGTTGATCCCAATTTCATTTAAAGCTCTCATCATTGATTAATCAGGGTTGTTATGACCAAAAGAAAAATAAAATTGGGCTGTTAAATGCAAGTGAAATCAAATACTAATAATGGGTGTGAGATTATACTCGTGTAAGTTAATCCTCCCTATGATGTGTATGACAATTTGTATTGTCCCCCAGTCCTATTCCATATTTCCATGAATAAATATTTTTGATATATGACATGCTTTGTAATTGTTGAACAAGGTTTAGAACTTGCCATTAACCAGGTTGATAGGACCCTTTCACATTAAATTGTTCTCATGAGTCAATGCAAGGAAAACTTAAAAAAAAAAAAAAATCCTATTTTCATGTTCCTATCAGCGGCATGGTGATGCATGCAGTCTGCTTTCTGGTTATATCTTAAAATAATTATATATTGAGAGAACTCTCTTCAAGACATGTGGTAATTGCTACTGAATTGCAGAATGGACCAGCTCAAAACACTGGTGGTAGGAATGACAAGGAGCATGCCTTGGCCTCAGAAACAAGGGTTGAAACATTGAACATGATGCAACAAGATACAGATGAGAGACTGGAGAGGAGTTCATCCAATTTGTCATCAGTGGATGTATCCTATGATGCTGAGAGTCCTGTAAATGGTCAAACTTCTATGGCAAGCACCTCAAATCATATTTCAGGGACAGATCAAAAGCAAGTTGTTTCCCCAAATGCTGATCCTTCTTCCCCCTCCTTGGAGGAAAATTCGAAGAGCAGTTCTAGAAGCAGTGATCATGAAAATTTGGATCAGGAGGTTTTTGAAAAGGATGCTAATTGTAGAAATATAGTTATGGATGCTCAAACAAACCGTAATGTAAGTGCTTTTGACATCTATTCAAGCAACGCATCATCTCTAGATAGTAATGGCATTGTGGACAAGAATCCAGGCTCTGTAAACTGTGCTGGTTCGGAAATCAACGACAAGTTAAGTGAGAGATGTGAGGAAGATGACAAATATCATGTGAAGGAGGGGGAAAGTGATAAATGTTACTATAGTTCGGCTGAGGACCAGCATGGAAATGAAATGTTTCATTCTGATAAACCATATCATGTAGAAGATGAATCAGTGGCTCAAGGTGCCAAAGATCAAGTTTTATTGAGTAATGGTACATATTCTTTAGGTGGGTCAGATATTGGTATGAAAAGCCATATTCTGAAAAGTGATAGATTAAAGAATGTGAAGTCTGTAAGGTCACCAGCAGACTCAGCTAGGAGTGTTGGGTCACTTAGTAACAATCATCACACGGAAGTAAATGAAAATGGCATTAATGAAGATGCCCAAAACAGTGGAGGGAACATCAGAAGCATTGACAAGAAAGATGCTAAGATTTATCCTAGGGAAGCCAGAAATGCCATTTTAGAAAGAAAAATTGAGCATTTGGAAAACAAGACAAAGATGCTTGAAGGAGAGTTAAGAGAAGCTGCTGCTATTGAGGCTGCTTTATATTCGGTAGTTGCTGAGCATGGAAGCTCCATGAGTAAGGTTCACGCCCCGGCTCGGCGCCTTTCCAGGCTCTACCTTCATGCTTGTAAAGAAAATCTTCAAGCAAGAAGGTCTGGGGCGGCTAAAAGTGCTGTTTCAGGATTAGTACTTGTTGCAAAGGCATGTGGAAATGATGTCTCGAGGTACACTTGAGTTATATTGGTTACTGCATCTTTTCCGTACAATGGTTATTGCATTTCATTCTGAGTATATTATCCTATCGCTAGTCAAGCTAATATTTTGTCCATGAGTAAGCATCACAAGTTGCTTCATCATGAAAAGTTTGGGAATTGTTTTTAATTAAAAAAAGTTTAGTTGTTGTTAATTAGTTAACTCAGAAAACAAGAAGCTTCTGTTGCCGGAATTTTTTTTTACTTATGTTGAACTTGCCATACATAGCTCTGTCAAAATATTTTCTAAAATGAGAGCGAACTTATTCCAATCTCGAAAAAAGAAAGAAAGAAAGATAATACGAGATTACATGGCAGATGAAGTGGATATCCTGCATGAAATTCTTAACAAAAATGGTTCACATTAATTATTAGAGGTTGTTGATTCTTGCTGCATGAGATGGAAATTATAGTTTCATCATAAAAAGTGCCAGCTGCCTACTGATTAACCTCTTCTTCCATCTGGATGCAGGTTAACATTCTGGTTGTCTAATTCTATTATGTTGAGAACAATTATAAGCCAAACCAGCAAATATCTGACACTATCAAATACTGCCGTACCTAGTACACGAAGGACGACTGGTGAAGGGAATGGCAAGATTGTACAACCATTAATATGGAAAGGGTTCTCTCCTAGGAAAAGCGAAAATATAGCAGTTGAATATGGAGGCTTTAGTAACTGGGATGACCCAAACGTGTTCACAGCAGCTCTGGAGAAGGTGGAAGCTTGGATCTTCTCTCGCATTGTGGAATCTATTTGGTGGCAGGTAACACTTTCATTTTATGCACTCTTTCAAAAATCATAAAGTTTCCGTACAAGCTCATTATTAATATTAACATTTCCATTGGCATCTAACATGAATCATTTTCTTTGTGTATGCCCAGTCTCTGACTCCACATATGCAGCTTGTTGATGCAAAGGTCACTCATAAGGATGTAGGTTCTGCCTCAAAGGAAAGCTCTAGAAGGATGTCTAGCTCATGTGATCAAGAGCAGGGAGATTTATCACTAGATATTTGGAAGAATGCTTTTAGAGAAGCCTGTGAAAGGCTTTGCCCTATCCGAGCTGGAGGGCATGAGTGTGGCTGTCTGTCTGTGCTTCCTAGATTGGTTAGTCTATCCAGTTCCTTCGTCCTTTCCTTCTCTTTTTTGTGCTAAAAGGTACTTATGTTTTTCATTGTAATACCATTTTGTGTTTTGTCTTTTTTCAGTTGTCATTCCTTTTTGGGTTTAGTCAGCGTGGGGTAGGGGAAGAGCTTCAAAATGGATGGTTGTGTAACCAAAGAATAATAGGGAATGTATACGTTGGTCAATGAAATTATAGATTAAGAGAAGGAATAAGCAAAAATGATTTGTAAAACCAGTCAATTTTATAAGACAGGAAATTCAAAAATAACATATTTAGTTCGTAATTGAAACATGTTGGTTTTATTTTTCTGTTTTTCTTCTTTTTTACTGGACTCATCTCGGTTTAGTGTAATGTCTGAAAAAAAAAGGGGTTCTTTTTTTATTTTATTTTTTAAAAAAACTAAACAAATTCCATACTGTCCTACTTTTGGCCAGTCCTAGTTCCTATTCCTAACAAATTCCTGTTGGCTGATGGAACTTTGATAAACACCAGTATGTAAAATCTATAGGAGGAAATATTGTAGTATAAGTTGTGTCTTTTGTATCTGGTATTAGGGGTGTTCGCGGTCTGGATTGGATCGGTTTTGGAAGCAAAAATCATCCGATCCAATCCTTTCGGTTTGATCATAAAATCATCCATTCGGTTTGGATTTTTTTTCAAATCCGATCCGATCCGATCCATTTTTTTTCGGTTTGGATTGGATCGGTTTTCGGTTTTTTGAAAATTCTAAAATTTATTTCATGATTATTGTGCAAATAACATCTTTTGTATATATTGTCTTTGTAAATTATTATTTTTTGAAATACAAAAACATTATTAAACTATAATATATATATTTTTTTGGACAATGAGATATGAAGCTCTACAAAGATAAAATTTTGTTGATGAGATGTGATTAGATTTTTTCTTGGGTTTAGTTAATGGGTTAATGAGTCTTGGGTTTAGAAATTTTTAAGTTATGATTAGGGAAAGACCCAAGTAGGTAGAGGGGAATTAATATATTGGATCGGTTTGGATTGGATCGGTTTTCATCAACCTATCCAAAAACCGATCCAATCCAATTAAAATTTGCGGTTTTTTTTCGGTTTTCGATTTTTCGGTTTATTCGGTTTTCGGTTTTTCGGTTCGGTTATAGCGGTTTGAATCGGTTTGGATCGGTTGATGAACACCCCTATCTGGTATACATTCTCATGAACCACGATGACCGATTTGAAAGGTATCCTATGCTTAAATATCCACTGGAGTTTAGTGCCTCCAATTTAATCCTCATGGGAGGAATAAGGGGTGAGAAAAGTATGATTTATGCAACTTAATCGTGAAGCCAAACATCTGCAACCCCTCCTCTTCCACCCCAAACTCCCCCCAAAAATTGATATCTCCATATATATTAATCAATGTTGTCTATAATTTTGTCTGATTAGGCTATGAAATTGAACTTGAATAATTTTTGTTACTTATTCTAGATAATGGAGCAGTGTGTGGCGAGATTAGATATTGCTATGTTCAATGCCATTCTTCGTGAATCTGCTGATGACATCCCAACTGATCCTGTGTCTGATCCCATTAGTGATCCCAAGGTTCTCCCCATTCCACCTGGTAAATCAAGCTTTGGAGCTGGTGCACAACTAAAATCTGCGGTAAATTCTTCGATCTCAGTAGTATTTTTTTGTGTTAACTATAATATCTAGCCATCCACTCAAATTTAATTCCAACCTACTGATATAGGTTCAATTTACTCCTTTATTTCTTCTGATATCTATTTGTGAATATTGAATGTGCCTCTAAAAGTAGGCAAGGAGTATGACATTTTGGCCTTGAATTGGCTACTGAGCTGTTGAGCAATTAGTGGCAAAAATGAAAAACAGAGATTCATGGCATGGTATTGAAGCCTTTATAACCAACCAAGTGGTCAAGAGTTTGATCCTTGATGCCTCCCATTCTTTTAATAGAAGTTAGTTTCATCACAACTTACAATGAACCGTGCATTTGTCCATCCTTTAAAAGCCCAAATGGCCCGTACATGAGGAAGAATCATTTATGATTTTTCACTGAACACTTTAGTTTTTTTTTGGGATAATTGGTCCATGACACTTCCCATTTGTGTTTTGAATTTCTCAGATTGGTAACTGGTCTAGATGGCTGACTGACCTATTTGGTATTGATGATGATGTCTCACTTGAGGATAGAGATGATGACCTTGATAACAATGATGGAAATCAAAATGCATCCTTCAAGTCCTTTCATCTTCTTAATGCACTGAGTGACCTCCTGATGCTTCCTAAGGATATGCTCCTGAGTGAATCCATCAGGAAAGAGGTTCGCCAATGAATTTGCACTTTTCTTCATTCAATTGTTAACTTACTTTAAGTTTCTTCTCCTCAATCATGGTAAAAGGATTCTTGTTTGTGAAGGTATGCCCAATGTTTAGTGCATCATTAATCAAGAAGATTCTAGAAAATTTTGTCCCAGACGAGTTTTGCCCTGATCCAATTCCCACTGCTGTTTTTGAAGCTCTGGACTCACAGGTTAGATAAGCTAATTTGCATTTGTTTTTTTCTGCTCATAATTTATCATAGGATTCTAGTTGACACTTATAGACATGCATAACTAAAATACACGCACACAAACTTGGGTTCCCACAATGCATGAGAAGCATAATGATTTGGCAACTGGTGTTTAATAGAGGCTCATTGAAAATTTGAAAATGACATGTCTCATGATAAGTGTAGTTATTTGATATACAGTGTTCAGTGATTAACTGATTTAAGGCTGAAACTCCTACAGGTTTAGCTTGTGATCTCTAGTTTTTTATTTTTGTTTTTTCAATTTGATGCAGGATGATCTCAAGGAGTCTGTCAACAACTTCCCATGCATTGCTGCTCCCATTGTGTATTCTCCTCCACCAGCTACTACCATTGCAAGCATTACTGGGGAGATTGGAAGTGAATATCAGCTGAGAAGAAGCAGATCTTCTGTTGTCAGGAAGTCAAACACCAGTGATGATGAGCTTGATGAATTACACTCTCCATTATCTTCAATTTTATTTTGTGGCTCATCCTCACCAGTATCAATAAAACCCAACTGGAAGTGGAAAGAAAGTCAAAATGAATCTGCAGTCAGATATGAACTCCTTAGGAAAGTGTGGATGGACAGCGAGTGACCTTGCAGAAATCTGATTTTACCCTCATCCTGTAACGTTTCTTGGATGTCACTGTAAAGAGAAAAAAGTATATATATATATACTCTAGGTTTTGCAGAACAGAAACGCGTTAGTATTAAAAAGCGAGATGGTGAAATTGGAATGCAAGTAATAATACAGAGTCTCTGCTAGTAATGTACAATAAATAAGGTCATGTGAGATTAGATTCCGAATCTTTTTTGTTATAGCTTTCAGATGCTGATTTTGCTTGATTTGAATGAGTTTGAAGACCAAGAAATTTAAGCACAATTAAGCTCGAATTTGAAAAGCGGAAAAATTTAAAGTAGATTCAAATATCAATCAAGAAATTACCTATGAATTGAAAGGACGAAAAACAAACAATCTGGGTCTTTGACGAAATGGATTGCAAATCTATAAGAATCTATTCCGCTGAAGTCGAAATATCTGAGACGTATAAATAAAATATTCATAGGTCGGAAGCTTGAAGAAAATCTCGTGGTCCAATTTACATTGGTACACAATTGATGGCCAATGGAACGTGTATTTGCTGATTCAAGGACCACGTAAAATTAACTAGAAAAGTAAAAGTACATTGGGACACAGCTGATCAAAAAAGAAGAAAACACGCGCTCACATGTAGGATTAGTAGTCATACATTACATACTGTTTCCGCTTTCTATCTTATAACTTGGACAGTAGCACTACAGAACAAACTATCATTCTCAAAATTTTCCAAAACAAAATCAACAATAATTTGGACACTCAGACCAAAATTTCCAATAAATTCTGGCTCTCATATTCACATATACTAGAATGCCGACAAGGGATTGGTGCCAGAGAAGATTGATGACCCTTCAGGCAGTCAACTTCTGTGAAGAACTAAGAGCATTAATATGCTGGAGATGTAGTGCAGCCAGAAGTCCCTGCCAGGTTTCTCCAGGTGCACCTGCTACTTCAAAATTAAGAAGTTTCTTCTGCTTCCTGTAGTAATCTTCCAACAGCTTGCACTAGAAAAGAAAGATACCCAAAAATTAAAAATTACTATAATTATTAAGGCAGAGGGACTAGAATAATAGAACCAAATATAGGCGAATTTACTATCTCAAACCAGCATATTCTAAGCACAACTTCCAAAACGGAAAGAAAGATGATATATATAGTCACCTCCTCTGCATGATTGCGGACATGATCATCCTGCAATTGCTTGGTTGGGGTCCAGGAGCTATTCATAAAAATATATTCCTGGCAAGAAGTAAATTTTCGAGTTCCTAGATTCTTTTTCACTAAATCCTCTTCCGAACACTTGAAATTCACCACCAGATCAACAGGAACAATGTGATCAAGAATCTCCTGTGAAACAGGATGGTGTTTGAAAGGACACGAAATATTAACAACCGGCATTTAAAGGGGGGCCATAAAAGCAAACCACACGAACTGTTGATTGAACTCCAAGGCCTAACAAGAATTGAAAAAGTTTTGAGCAGTTTAATGATTAAAAAAACACGAAACTCACAGCTTGAATCCTTGTTCGAGGGATTCCATCCAGAATGAACCCAGTTTCACCTCTTGAGTACCCATCCTCCAGTCTCTTTGTTAGCAGCCCAAAAATGATTTCCTCAGGGACAAGCTTTCCATGATCCAAGGCATTCGCTATCTGAATCAGAAGAACCCCACGTCACACACTAATATTAATTTAAAACATTATAGAACATTGTACCAAAAAATAAAATAAAATTATAGAACACCAATAAACAAGGTAAAAGCATTCAAAACGAATCTTCACTTCTTAAACCAAACTGAATCGTTAACCTAGATTAATATGCATGTCTAACACCACTCTGTTTCCGGCTATTACAGGAAGTTTATGTTATGGTAATTATTACTTAATTTAATGAGACTCTCAACATTTTTTTTATAGAAAAAAATCATTTCAGCTCAAAAAAGGAAATATTATTTTCTTTACAACATAAAGCGCTAACTTTAATCTGAAATTATGAAAGAGGGAAGGAAAAGAAAAAGAAAAGATAAAAGCAGAGAATTATCAAGAAATCAAATTAAATTAGAGGGAAAAAGCAGAAAGCAAAGAAGAAACCCTAGAATAGATTGATGGATATACCTGCTGGTAGAGAGAGGAGCGAGGGCTGAGCTCCTGACGAAGGAGAGTGGCCATGGAAATGTGAGGAACTTCTAGAAGCTTCGAGAGCCTCTCGGCGAAGAGGTGCCTCCTGGCTCCTGGCTCACCTATCATCACCCACTGCACTCCACGCTCCGGCGATGAACCCTCCGTGTCCAGCATGCCACGTGGCATACACTGCTCGTAGTGCTCTTCTTCTTCCTCCTCGTCGTAGTGGTACTGCACCGCAGCCGCAGATCCGAAAGCACGATTCGACAGGAATCTGATAGCTTTAAGCGGCGTCGCAGCCACTCTCAGTCGTGCGATCGCGGCCATGGCGGCGGCGATGGGGCTTTTTCTGTTACAACGAGAGTGTGAGAGAAAGAGGGAGAAAAAATGGGAATGGCTGCGTTATAGAGAGGAACCCTGACCGTGAGGTTTTAAGAGGGGATATTCGGGTTAGTGAAATGCCACTGTTTTCTTGCGGTAATTACGAGGATGCCACTCATTGGTGCGTGGCGCGAGCGAGCCCAGCGAGAGTGGTTTACCAGTTGGCTGGTCGTGATTGGCAGAAAAAAGATAGATGTATTGTTGGAAGGGTGCAATCGTGTGCGCGCAGCATCTTCTCTATAAACATATGTTCTTCTCTATAAACATATGTTGGTAATAATGACACAATTTTAATTTGATATATTAATATGATATAAGATATTCTTACTATTAATTTTTTTATTATTAATCTACTATCAATTTAATATAATTATGTATTATTAGTAGTATATCAAAAATTATTTTTTTCTCTTTTAATAAACTTTTTAGAGATTATCATAAGATGTACTATTATTAGTAGTATATCAATTGCTAAAAAGTGGTAGTTAAAATATTTGGTAGTAAAAATATCTCACTTCTATTAATATAGCTAATTTTGTAGAAGATTTAATTATTTAGTAAAGGTCAAAGAATATTGATTTAAGTGATAAAGAGTTGTTTTTTTAAATTAAAATCTCGAGTTTTGAGTATAAGAATAGGGGGAAGGTTATACTTACTACCTTTTTTTCTTATTACTTCTTACTATCAAATCTTAACCGTTGATTTTCGTCAATCTAACGATTATAATTTATTAAAAATTAAAAATTAATTAATAAATGTAATCCAATAAAATCAACTATTAAGATTTGGGAGTAAGAAGTAGTAAGAAAAAAAAAGTAATAAGTATAACATTTCCATAAGAAATATAAAATAGTGTTGAGAGAGCACCATAACACAATATGAGTTTAACAATAATTGAATCAGATTAAACCGGTTTTGGATATAAAAATAATAATTATCAAGGTTAATTCAAAATTTTAATAAAAATATATAAATTGAAAATTTAAGTTAAAAAATGTTTTATTATATGTTTTATAATAATTTATACTAATATATCATTAAAATGTTGATTCAAACTAACAAATTTATTATATGTCATTAATTATCAAAGTTTGTAAATTTTGAAAATTATATTACACAACATTGAATTAATACAACTAAAAGATGTAACTCAAAACTAATAAATAATATGTTAGATAGATCCTAGTCGTCTTGATTAGCTGGCAGCCGGCTGAGTTTTTGAAAGGAGAGTTGTCGAGCGCCACCAAAAAAATCACATGTGAAGCTGAGTTCTTGGAAGCTGATGAGTTTTAAAATGGACACGTGGATAGAGGAACGGAAAGTTAACCATAATTGGTTTGTGTGAAGTGAACTGTGAAGACCCTTCCACGTAGCATGCCAGTTTACCGTTAACCTGTGCTTGCTTTTTTATTCTCTCTCTCCTCCTCTTTTTTTTATTTTTTTATTTTATTGCTATCCGTTGAGCGTCCAACAAAAGGTGAAAAGCCCAAATAACAAAAAGGATTGTGAATTAATAAGAAAAAGAATTTAAGACTTGGACCAAAGGCCAATAAGACTATCCTATTTGTGTTGGGCCAAAATTGAAAATTACTGGGAAAAATCTAGGTTAAACCAAAGACTTTAATCAACATAATTTGTTTCGGTATTAATAGGACTTTTGGTTTTGATTAATTCTGAAAAATAAATTATTTAAAATTTTAAAGTTGTAACTTAAATTTTGATCATAATTTTGACACATATTATTTCTAAATTATATTTTTAAAATTTTAAAATTTAAATTAATTTAAATCAATTATATAATTTTATAATTTAAAAGATTTTTCTTTTAGTATATATTTTTAATATTTTACATGAAGTAAATTATTAATTAAGAATATTATTTTTATAATTTTAAATATTAATTAAGTGTCACCAAATCTTGTTTTTATATACAAGTTGCATGGATAGGATAGGAGAGGCGTTGTGGGTTTGCAATAAAAGTTTGCCACGTTTGTCATTAAATGTCAAAAGATAACATGCTTTCTGCTTCGCTCCAGAAAAATTATAATGACCTATTTAATAATAATAATCTATTGAAATAATTTAAGATGTTAGTGTGTATTATTAACATCAGTAATTAATAAACAATATTAAGAAAAAAGAAGGAAAAATGTTGAGATATGAAAGATCCAAGAGAGGATAGTGAGAGGGGTGAGAGATAGAGGAATAGAGGCCAGTCTGTTTTAGTATATGATGTTTCTACTAATACTTTATTTATTTGATGCTAAAATTGGATTCACAGGTTAGGTATATCCCACAACTAACAAAAGAAATCTTTCATATGCCAGAAGATGATGATAGACGAGAATTGAATTAAACTTAGTATTACAGCCTCATCTACAATATAGTTACATGTTCTGTTTTAACAAAATACGTTAAATGTCAAATATATAAAACACATTCATACATAAAATTGATGGTTGGAGTTGATTGTCATTTTAAGATTATCTAGAACTCTAGATTGTTTCATTAACTAGGCGTGCGAAGCTCTGAGATCATCCGCACCAAAGATCAGAATTTTCAGGACATAATCTCGTTCAAATTAACCATCACATAAATAAAACTAGTATCCACAAATTTATTACACGAACCAGTTTTTGACCATAACCTGCCCATGGAGCAATACTTCTCGTGGGTGTGTTTACATGGTCATTTAGATACACTTAGAGCCTGTTTGGATCCTCTTATTTTTAAGCTAGAAGTTACTTATAAGCTAAAGCTAATAAAAAAAGCTTAATAAAAGAAGCTAAAAGCTGTTTGGTAATTGCATAAAAAATTTAGCTTAAAAATTACTTAAAAACACATGTTTCAAGAAAATTATTTCTCTCTCTATCTTTACACAATTAAAAAAAAATAGATAAGAGCTTAAAAAAAATCTCCTCCTAGGAGCTTTTAGGGCTTTTTGACCCTTATGACCCTTAATTAATAATTAATTACCAAATTGTCCTTCATTCAAAACTATTTCGAAAATTTACCCTCCCCAACAAACATAACACCAATCTGCCCCTGTTTGACCGTTGACCACGAAGCCTACCCGGGTACACCATTACCTACCCGGGTAATTTTTAAAAATTTTTTATCTACCCGAGTATGTAGGAGTGTACCCGGGTAGAGTTCTTGAATCTGGGAAAATGGTTGAATTATTTACCCGGGTATGGATCAGTGTACCCGGGTAAATCGCGTCCAGAAACCCCAATATGTATGGGTTTCGGCCATTGTTGCGAGGTATAGGGTTTTTGAAACCCCAAATCTCTCTCTCTTACCCTCTCTAATCCGAAACATCACACATATTTCATCTCATCATTTCAGAAAGCTGAATCTTGGTGGGACATTGAGATTACATCTCCACACTCCTATTTTGTGCTCAAAAATCCGAACCAACCTCCAAACCCAAAACCTAGATCTAATTTTTGTGTGAAAGATGAGTTCAAGTCCAAACATGGTTCCTATAGTTATTTACTACAATGGGAGGCATTTTGAAGGTCCGAACGGTGTCCGATTTGAAGGGAAAAAAAAAGGATGAAAATCAAAGTGAGCACTACATGCAATGAACTGAAGGAGAGAATTCTTCAAAAAATGGGGTCAGAAGACATACATTCCATCCACCACATGATAGCCAGGTTAGAGACTATAGTGGATATGGATACAATATACTACATTGGAAACGATATAAATGATGATGAAGATGTGGAGTTCGTAACAGATGCGTTTGTTGAATGGAAAGTATTAAAATATATTGAGATATATGTTGAAGTTGATGTTGGACAATCTTCATCTTTACCGGTGCATACAACCACTACTGCACACTGTACCGGTCAAGAAGATACAGTTGTACGATCTTCTGCACCTCCTCAGGTAGCATTGGATGAGGATGAAGAGGATGAAGACGAGGACTATGTGGACAGCGAAGATGAGGGAGAACCTGAAAGTGCTATTCCAGAAGGTGATTCGTCAAGAGACGTGAAGGGATTGAAAAAGATATCTCACAAGGTTGGATAATTTCAAAGAAGGTTGAGGCAGCTTTGCAAAAAAATGATGAATTGGCCGGCACTTATCGTGTGAGGATATATGATAGTGAGCTGTTATTGTTTGAGGTTGAGGATGCCTACAATCAATCTACACACGAGGTCGGTGACACCATGAGAGTGGACTTAATCAATCGTACATGTCAGTGTGAGGTTTACAGCAAGGAGGTATCCCTGCAGTCATGTATTAGCAGTTTGCAAGGTAGCCAAGCTAAACCATTATGATTATGTGGATCATGTTTTCAAAATTCCAACCATTGCTAAAGTATATGCTGCACACTGGTTTCCTATTGGCAATGAATTGTTGATTCCATCCGTTGTTGGGCCTACTGTAATTCCGGATGCTCAGTTGGTACGTGCAAAAGGAAGACCAAAGTCTTCAAGGATTCAGAATGAGATGGATTGGGTTGAGTCTCAACCCTCTAGCAGTCAGAGCAGATGTAAGCATTGCAAGCAAGTTGGACATAACATTCCTACATGTCCATTGAGACTAAGACAAGCATGATTACGTATTGTTTTTGTGTAGTACTTTGTTTTGTAATGACAATCACTTTACGTATTGTTTTGTTTCCTTGTACCCTAAACTTTATCTTGTATTAGTTATGTATTGTGTTGTTGAAATGTATTGTTGAACTGTATTCTTGTGTTGTTGAAATGTATTGTTGTGTTGTTGAAATGTATTGTTGAAATGTATTGTTGAAATGTATCCGTTAAGTTTAGCGAGTCACTCATTCCGTATTGTGCAATCTGAATGTCTACCATACCCATTTACCCCTTCCCCGAGTCAGTTAAGGTTATTGTATTACACATCAATTACCAAGATGCAAAAAAAATTGGATTGAACAGCACCTGTTGCTGCATCTGCAACTGGTCTACCCGGGTAACTCGTAATGATATACCCGAGTACATCCTACCCGGGTAGACCAGTTCGTGGTACCCGGGTAGA